CGTAAACGGTAAAGGGCTGGAAGATGAAAGGTAAACTGACTTCTGACTTACTAAAACCAGGTTAGTACACCAGGTTGTCGTAAGTCAGAACGCAGATGTCAGAAATTGTTGATGCGTGAGTGTACAGCATAATTATTAAATAATGAAACTTGGAAGATATATTGGATGTACAAAAGAAATAAGCTATAATTTCCACCGAGTGTAAATAAATAATATTCAAACATTCTCTCGTATTTTTAAAAATGCAGACAAAGGAATTGAAAATAAAAATACGTAATATCGACATCGAACAGAGTTACGTTCCGACATATTTATATATAAAATTGAAAAGCTACAAAAGAGATAAAAAATTATTTAAAATTAGATTTATCCACTGATTTCACTGTAGTCACTGCTACTATCGTATCGTAAATGGTATCAAAATCATAGGCGCATAATATATATATATATATATATATATATATATATATATATATTATTATATATATATAGTACCTGGGCGACCGAGCCTTGCTCGGAGTGTTTGGCCAAAAAAAACGTTAAAAAAAAACTAAGAATTTGAATAACTGCAAAAAAAAAACAAAATTAAAAACTTTGTGTCCGATCGGGATACGAACCCAGACACCTGTGGTTGTCAAATTTGCGCATTGGCCGCTTGACCATGATGCTTATATCTGAGCATGCGAAATTATCGAACATAATATTTTGCGTGGAATTATTAATTATTAATTTATTGAAATAATGCAAAAGGAATCATAATAATAATAAAGCTCTATTTATTTATTCATTTATTTATTATAAAGGCTTACTAACTAAATTTACATAAAAACATTTATTTAACATTATAATTTTACCTATTTGTATATAAATTTAATTTAAAAGTATGCACAGCTTTTTATAAAAGTATTCCATTAAAATTTTATTTGGTTAAAAGTATATAAGGAGCCATTTTAGTTGTACAATAAATAAAAGAAGAAAAAAAACTAATCTAAATATTTAAATACACTTTCTTTTTAAATAAATTTAAACTATCAGAAAAAATGTCTATATCACATTGCTGAAATATAAAATTATATAATTTAGTAACTATTTATTAACTTATAATTTTTTAACTAATAATTTTGTAATCTGGAATTAAATTATTTTAAAAATCTTTAATATTATTTGAAATTATATTGTATATATATAAATTATCATTAACAAATAAATAAACATTGACAGTAAATTAAATAATTCAATTGAGTAAATACTATACATTTCACAATAATACATATAAATAAAATTTCTTTCCATACATTAATTCTGACAATAGTTATAAATTAGGTATTTAATTTCATAATTAAATGTATTTATTTAGTAAATGTCTTTTTCATGTATAGACCCCTCTCCGTTAAAAGCCTCCTCCAAAGTAGTCCTGCATAGAGCTCTCCGTTGGAGATTATGCTTGTATGATTGCAAAGGGTTTCTTTTCAAATTTTGTTTCCAATATACTATAATTTGTTTCTGATATGCCTATAAAGTTTATAATTTTTTCTTTGTGTTCTTTTGATTTGTTGTAGGAAATGCTGCTTTTAATTCTAGAAGTTTTTCTGGTGAAGATATGTATTACCTTTGTTCTTTGTATGTCTGTCTTTCTTTGGAGGGTTACAGTCGAACTCCCCCACAGTGACCGGCCGTACTGGGGGATAAAAATGAGGAGGTTCCTACTGTGTTTAATATACTGTATCTTGCTGTGTTGTTTTTAGTTCTTCCTGGTTATCATTTGTGTGGTTGAAAGTTAATTTTGGTTTTTGTAATATAAAGTCTTTAATATTAGCAGGTTTGGTTTTCTTTGTATGTTGTTTATTTGTTAGTTTTTGTTTATAATTGAGGTAAGGCGTTTCTGAAGATACAGGCAGACTTCTTTTATTTGAGTATTGGCGGGAAGTGTTCTTATTATTATCCACAATAATTAGTTTGTCATATTTAATGAAAGCTGTTTTGCCTAGGTCTTTTTCTTTATCTTCACTTGGGCTTGTAACTCCTTGCGTTTGTTAAAGACTTTATTTTTTCCTCTAGTTCATGATAGGATTTTTCACCTTTTTCTACTCCGAACATAACCAAGTTCTTGCGCCTAATATGTCTTTCTAAATTATTTATTGAGGAATTTTTTATTTCTAAGTGTTTAAATTTCTCATTTAAGTATATTATTGTTGATTGTATTTTTATTGTCTTCTTTCATTTCTAACATTTCTGTTTTCTGCTGTCTTATTTCTTGTTGTATGTTTATTAGCAACTTTTTTATCTCCTCCATCTTAAGTGTGAAGTCGGAAGTAGAAAAGCTGATTGAAAAAGAGCACCAATTATACCTAGTTGAATTGCAATTTTATACAGAATATTAGTTTTTGAGGTTATAAACTTATGTTTTAATATTTTTTTTACGCTTTCACTTCACAAATTATTTTGTTTTATTGTCATCACACACAGAAAAGATGGTTTTGCACTAATAGTATCTGTATGTTATGTTTCTCACTTTTGTATTTGTTTGGTAGGTGAATTTTTAAAAGCTCATTTGTTCTTCTACACATCAAGACTTGGTGATGTTTATAGATTAATATTTCTTAAAATTATTATTAAACTAATTAGAATTTATCATTTTCTTTAGATTATTTCCACTTAAATATTTTTAAACTTGATGTAAATACGGGCACGATATTGACAGTTGTACAGTGGCGCCTCCCACCCACCAGAAGTGACAACTGACAATGCAAAAATTGTGAAAATGCAAAAGAAAACCGCATGAAAATTCGAAAACACGCGTTTTTCCAGACATAAGACTAATCTAGATCGATTTATCGCCCCCGAAACCCTTTGTATACTAAATTTCATGAAAATCGTTGGAGCTGTTTTCGAGATTCAGATTATATATTGAGATATATATATATATATATATATATATATATATATATATATATATATATATATATATATATATATATATATACAAGAATAGCTCGTTTAAATATATAAGATATATATATATATATATATATATTATATATAATGGCTCTAAAAATTAAGTGACTATAGCCGAACGTTTCTTACGGAACACCATGACAGCTACTCACCGGCAACCCAATAACGGACACACGCTATAGATGTACCCACTACCCATACTGAAATTATAAATGCATTTTCCAACGTTAAAAAAAACGCCATGCCAAGGTAAAAGGGACTGGCTAAGGAACTAAATTTCTTTTGATTGTATATTCTCAGAATTGAATATATTTTATAAGAGACAAAAACTTTTTAACAAAAAAAATAAAAACCGACTTCAAACAAAAGCACTAAAAAGTAAAAAATAACTGATTGGTAGTTTTCATTTACTATACATACCTAATCAAATATATTCGAAGTCGGTGTGCTTTGCTTTATATGGCCTGGCACCGATTTCGAAAATATTTGATTAGGTATGTATTCAATAGGTAGGCTTTAATTACTTAGCCAAAGCACACCGAGTTCCACCTATCCACCTTCTGGCCTTACCATCAGATCAAGTCAACAATACCGAACCACTGTACTATCAACGAAAATAGAAACACTTGCAAAGTTTCAAGTCAATATGACAATTAGAAGTAGGTTAAATTCATCATTACCTATTTTTCCACCCTTAGGGGTGGTATTTTTTTTTTTAAATTTAAATGGGACCAATCTGGAAGTATACACTTTCAAACAACACAAAAATTGTTTAAATCGGTTAATAAATGACGGAGTTCTGAGGTAACAAACATAAAAAAAAAACATACAGTCGAATTGAGAACCTCCTCCTTTTTGAAGTCGGTTGAAAAGTAGGCATTTTTATTTAAGTTTAAGTGTCTGACTATGTACATATATACGTGGCATTTGTGTACATATCATGTAGAATGTAACACCTTCAACTTCTAGAATCGAGATATCTTAGAAATGGTAATTGTTAGGAAAAAAAGTATTACGACTATACTATTTTTGTTGATAATTTTAAACCTACAATTTTTGTCCAGGCTATATTTTTGATAAAACTTAACGTTTTCGCAAAAAAATCCAAACAACCATAAACTTTGACCGTTGACCTTGAATAATTTATTTATTTCTGGTCTCTACCAAAACTCAGCTCTTTCGGAGTTTTTGTTGTTTGATCACTATTTTTATGTCTAATTTGACTGGACTAACTAAACCCCAATAACACTTTATGAATTATAGTCGATTTTGGACTAGGTATGTTGCAATCAATAGTAGAATTTCCTAAATCCATGATAGTCAGGGTGTTAGAAATATTATTGTAAATGGGTTCGAGGCATAAAAACAAATCAATTTTGAATAATAAGCTTTATTTCTTGTTTAATATCTATATACTATAAACAATATTAAAATATATTTATTTGTACATAAATATTTAAAATAAAATGTATATAATAATATTCTTATATAATAAATTTGCAACTGGTGTCAACAAGAACGTTCAAAAATAGATTTTTAAAAGTTAAAGTAGCAATTAATACGGAAATGGAAACACACCGCATTCTCGTGTACCTGAATGTTATGTTTCAGTTCAAGGCTCTAATCGCCTGTAACCACTCTATTATTTCTCACATTAAATTTAAAATTATAAATCGACATAAAATGTGTCAGAAATATCCTTAAAAAATCTCTTTAGTAATAATTAATTTGCTTAAATTTAATGCTTACTAATCCACACATCAAAGGACTGACGTGTTTTTTCAATTAGGTACCACAGAATATGTTTTATCCCCGTGTGTAAAGAGGTTGGTACTTTGAAATAATCATTTGCTGCAAAAAGTTACTTAAGGCCGGATCACGATACTTGAATCTGAACGATTAAATACGATAATAGCTACACTACAGAATCATTTTACTGTTAGTTTCTACTGCTGCACAACAATTAAGAGCGCAGATATCAAAATATGAAAATAAATGAAAATAAAAAGCCAAGCGACGTTGAATTTTATCACGTAATCAACTTATTTCCCACGGTGCGTAGCCATGAAGTACAAAGTGTCGTGGGCTACGATCGCAGCGAGGAATGGACGATCCGCTATGAAACGAGGCACTTCTGGCTCTCCAATCACCATGGAATAGCACGCGATGCTCATCACTGCAATATAAACAGCTCCGTCATATCGACCAACCAACGAAATTATTTATATATTTTCCAAAAATGATTATGAGTGAGACATAAAAAGCCAAAACACAATAGCAACTAAACATTTTGTGCGCACAGAATGCGATGATATCAGCGGTAGAGCGATTCTTGACAACAATCATCAAGTATGTCACGGTATTTATTGATTTGAAACGTCAATAAATTAAAGCCTTATTGATCTAATACCAACTAATTATCAACCTATTAGAGCTTTTCACTTCTATCGGGTTTTGATTTATTTAGTTCTCATGGTCTGTACCCATAAGACATAGGGACAATAGATTAGAAAAAAATATATTAGTGAGAGCACGTGTAATTTAGTCGCAACTTGTAGATTCAAATGCAATTCAATGATAATCATAATTAAGTTTATATATACGAAGAATTACATTTTTAAAATTAGCGTGATTTAATGATGTAGAGAATAAAGGTAAAATATGACATAACCATAGACACAGATGTAAAATTAAGTATCTGTGCATTAATCTACTTTTTTTATACATAAGTACTTTTTGTAAAGACTGTCGATACAAGATGGGATAGAACATTTGTGGTATTGCCAATATTGATAAAATCATGGCGGAGCGTGGCTTACACCAGCGTCTGTAGAGAAATGATCGATATTAAACTGAAATTATTACACTGTTTCATATCAATACGACTCTTAATAAATCTAATTATACCTTTAAACTTGTACCTTTAAATTTCAATACACGGTGTGTTTCCATAAACTACAGGAACTTTAAGAACCGACTATCAATCATTTCAGAGACCTTCAATACGACATTTTACAGTTCTCTTTCATGCAATTTATTAGTGTTATGAGTTGCATAAAGAATTATTCATCTTAAAATTAATATAAAATATTTATATCGTTGCATTATTGAGGGTGAAGTAGATCGTGTTTAGCGTCCGCGATATACGCCGACGAAAAGCTCAGTGGTGCCGTGTAGGAGCGCGTAGAAGAAGGGGCGGTCGGCGCGGAAGACCGACCTGAAGGGATGCGCGCACATCAACATCAGCGTCACGCCTGTGAGCACACGCGATACCGTCAACGTTTCCACCTCGCCAAATGAGAACGATCCCCCATATTAATCCCATGTAGATACGTGTATACCCCATATAGATCATTAATTTAAATCTGATATTCTTAAGAATTGATTTACTATGACAATCATTCTCGTGTAGTTGCCGTAATGAGACGCGAACGTTGTCGTAAAGTTACTTCATGGCGTATACGGTTTATCGTTAGACCTTTAGGTCTATTAGATGAAAACTTAACTTCTAAACTGACTTCTGACTTACTAAAACGTATGTAAGCGGAAAATTTGATAGTCTACACATATTCCCCAGAAGTCAGACTTTTGATTTAAAAAAAATCTTTTCGTATTTTAATCTCATATTTAGTAAAATTGTGACAAAAGAATCCCAATAACGTTCACACTTAATGAATTATAGACATTTTTCCACCATGTTGTAATCAATAGTAGATATTATTAAATCTGTGATAATTGTAAAAGTTACAAATATTATTGTCCGTGGGTTTGATGTAGTAAAAACAAAATTATTTTGAATAAGCTTTATTTCTTGTTTAATATCTATATACTATAAACAATATAAAAGTATATATATGTATTTGTACATAAATATTTCAAATATAATGTATATAATAATATTCTTATATAATAAATGTGCAACTGGTGTCAACAATAACGTTCAAAAATAGATACTTTTAAAATGCTGAGGTAGCAATTAATACGGAAATGGAAACACACCGCATTCTCGTGTACTTGTATGTAATGTTTCAGATCAAAACTCTAATCGCTTATAACCACTGTATAGTTTTTCACATTAAATTTTAAAATATCAATCGACATAAAATGTATCAGAAATACCTATCCATAAAAAATCTTTTTAGTATTTAATTGGCTTAACTTCAATAATCTTACTAATATTATAAATGCAAATGTAGGTTTGTTTGTCCTTATCCACACATCAAAGGCCTGACGTGTTTTTTTCTATTAGGTGCCATAAAATACGTTTTATCCCCGTATGTAAAGAGGTAGGTACCTCGAAATAATCAACTGCTACAAAAAGTTACTTAAGGGCGGATCACTAATTACAATTAATAATTATACTTGAATCTGAACAATTAAATACGATAAAAGCTACACTATAGAATCATTTTATTGTTAGTAATAATTTTATTATCTACTGCTGCACTAAAAAATTGAGAGAGCAGATATCAAAATATGAAATTATATGAAAAAAAAAAGCCAAGCGACGTTGAATTTTTTCACGTAATCAATTTATTTCCCACGGTGCATAGCCATGAAGTACAAAGTGTCGTGGGCTACAATCGCAGCGAGGAATGGACGGTCCGCTATGAAACGAGGCACTTCTGGCTCTCCAATCACCATGGAACAGAACGCGATGCTCATCACTGCAATATAAACAGCTCCATCATATCCACCCACTAACGAATTTACTCCTATTTTCCAAATATGATTGTGAATGAGACATAAACAGCCAAAAGACATTAGACATTAAACTTTTTGTGCGCACAGAATGCGATGATATTAGCGATAGAGCGATTCTTGACAACAATAACCAAGTACCTACGTTTATTGATTTGAAACGATTTGCAATGTCATTAAACAAAATTGCTTTTATACCAAAACGTCAATAAATTAATGCCTTATTGATCTTATACGAATTAATTATTATTAAGTTATTGGAGCTTTCCACTTCTACCGAATTTTGATTTATTTAGTTCTCATGGTCTGTACACATAAGACATAGGAACAATAGATTAGAAACAAAATGAATTCTGAGAGCAAGTGTAACTTAGTCACAACTTGTGGATTTGAATGCAATTCAATGATAGGGATAAAATTAAGTTTATATATATGAAGAATTATTTTTTTTAAATTAGCGTGATTTAATAATATAAAGTAGAGAATAAAGATAAAATATGACATAACCACAGACTCAGATGTAAAATTAAGTACCTATGCATTTATCTAATTTTGTTTTATACATAAATACCTTTTGTAAAGACTGTCGATACAAGATGGGAAAGAACATATATGTGGCATTGTCAATGGAGCGTGGCTAACGCCAGCTTCTGTAGGAAAATGATCGATATTAAACTGAAATTATTACACTGTTTCATATCAATACGACTCTTAATAAATCTAATTATACCTTTAAACTTGTATCTTTCAATTTTAATACACGGTGTGTTTCCATAAACTAAAGGAACTTTAAGAATCGACTATCAATCATTTCAGATACCTTTAATACGGCATTTTACAGTGCACTTTCATGCAATTTATTAGTGTTATGAGTTGCATAAGCAATTAACAATGATTCATCTTAAAATTAATATAAACTATTAATATAGGTGCAATATTGAGGGTGAAGTAGATCATTCTAACGTTTAGCGTCCGCGATATACGCCAACGAAGAGCTCGGTGGTGCCGTGTAGGAGCGCGTAGAGGAAGGGGCGGTCGGCGCGGAAGGCCGGCGTGTGGCGCGCGCACCGCAACATCATCACCATGCCTGCGCGCACACGCGATACCGTCAACGTTACCACCACACCAAATGAGAACGATCTCCCATATTAATCCCATGTATATATATACCCCATAAAACCGTATGATTTAAATGTAATGTTCTTAATAATTGATTTAATATGACAATTATTCCCATGTAGTTACCGGCATGAGACGTGAACACGTTGTCGTAAAGTTGGTTTATGGCGTAAACGGTAAAGGTCAGTTAGATGAAAAGCTTAATTAACTTATGACTTACTAACACGTACACAATGTTGTCGTAAGTCAGAAGTCAGACATTGTTGATGAGTGGTTATACAGTATAATTATTAAATTATTAAACTTAGAAGATATAACAGATGTAAAAAAGAAATTAGGTATTTCCACCGAGTATAAATAAAAAAATATATTAAAAATGTACCCGAATTTTCATAAATAAAAAAAGCTTAATGAAAAATGTTGAATTGAATATAAAAATGAGAAATATCGCCACTGAATAAATAGAATTACGTTCTGACATATTCATAAAATTGAAAAACACCATTTGTTTTAAAAAAAACATTTATAGTAAGATAACAATTTACTTAAAATCAAATTAGTCCACTGTATTCACTGTAGTCGCTGCTACTTTCGTAGATGGCACAATTCACCTAATTATTATAGGAGCGGAAAGAAGGCCACAAATAACTGCTATCTTTTCTGGTCTGACTTTAATGTCACGGTCACGACTCATGCCAGCATTGCATTCATGCCATAATTCGTTTCTAGAATATTCTCATTGGCTACTGGGAGTACTAGAGGTCGACGCGAGAGGCGCGAGGGGCACTCGCAGTGGGGGTGAATCTGGGCACGAGCGAGAAGACGGGCAGGTCGCGCACCATCACGCACCAGAGGGCGGGGCGGTCCACGTACACGCGCTCTATACTCGGTGCCGAACGCTTCTTGCGGACCCCCACAGCTACTCACCGGCAACCCAATAACGAACACACGCTATAGATGTACCCACTACCCCTACTGGTATTGACTAACCGACGTATTTTGGCCATATATGGATTTTATATTCAATCTTTTGTGAGATTATACATAAAATTATTACTTTTATTCGATATTAATAATTAATAATATTTAGTGAAAATTCATTATTGAAAGGGAAATAAGAGTAGTTGGTACATCTTTAGAACATAACGCGGTGTACATACACATGCAGTACTTACATACATCACAGGCACTCCATTGTTATTAATAAGATAGAAATTATACTTATTGTATCAGTAAGATAGACAAAAGTAGAATTTAATATACACTTTTGTTGATAAATCCATTAGTTTTTTTAGTTCAATAGAAATATAAAGGTTATGTAGAAAATCTCATAACATATATTTAATTATTTGAATTTGCTTGATTTTTTTATAACATAATACATAGGCGTTGTTTTAACTTCGTATTCGTGTAATTAAATTGATATAAATAAAACATAAAAAGTATTTTATATTACTGAATAATTTAGCGCGATATGTTAATGGACCGGACAGTGAATGTAACGTCACAGTAACATAGAGACAGTTTCCCAAGCATATTTCAAAAACATTCCAAAACAACACAAACAGCACATAATAATGACAAATAAAAGTATGAATAAATTACTAAAAGGTAAAAAAATAGGGGATCGGAAACTTTTTTTTTTAGAATGTATTTAAATAGAACGTTAAAAAAAATCATAATTCAACTGTTTTCTTTAATAATATTTTTAATTTTTTATTCTGTTCTTCACCTCAGTCGGAATCGGACATGACGTCACTTGTGGGTAACTTTAAAAAAACAAACCGTACGTACACACAAAAACGTGCATTAAGTTAAATACCAAGACAAAACTGTTAAAGTTAGATAGTTCATAGATTGAATTGCAGTAATCAGTTAGACGTAATTATGCAAAATGGATCCAGCCCACAAAAACCGTTTTTTGAGTTACTGTCATAAATATCAATATACAGAAAGTAGATAAAATACCCAATATTTAAGAGGAATTTAAAAAAAAAACTACGGTCTTGTTATTTTGATATACCAATTTTACTAAAACTCCTATTTTATCAAAAGTAAATTTTTGTGGTCGGATCTATTTTGTATAATTACGCCCAATTTATAAACAGTCGCAAGTACTCCTCTAGTTTCTTCCAAACGTTTTCTTCTAGCTAAGTTTGACTCATTTTTATCGTGTCTGCTTTTCGTGGTACATCAATGAATGACTATTTATTTACGAGTACATATAACATTATTTATTATTTGCTACTACTTTATTACTTTGATTGGATTACTTACAGATGTATTGCTACATTGAAGTAGTTTTTTTTTCATATCCACCAAACTTCACGAAAACTTAGAAATTGTAGTTATTTAATTATTATATTATTAGCATGTAGTTTAACAACATGTGACGTCACGCGCTCTGATTTGATTCTGAAGTGACATAAATGAATGTTTTCGCGGCAGTTTTAAACAAATAATATTGAGATAAAGTTCTTGGTACATATAAAGCTTTATTAATAAAAAATAATATTTTTGATGGGAAAAGTATCCATGATAGGTTATTTAAAACACATTCTAAAAAATTATCCGCCCCTATTCTACATAACTGAAGATCATATTAAAATGTAAAATCAATAAAATTATTAAAATCAATGTATTAGTTTATGATTGATTGCTGGTTAATGAAGAATTTAATTTACGTAACATTTCGATCGATAACCCAATTTTTTGTTAAAATGACACACACTATAACTAACACGTAACTGTTAAAATAATATAATGTAGCTTCAGGTTATATCAATATCAACGTAGGCCGATCGATCAAAAAAGTACTAGATACACAATCCCCTGCAAAAGTTCTCTTAAAATTGTCACTAATTGTGTTTAGGTAATTATTCTAGTTGAAATAAAATATACAACAAGGTACAGTGAACTTTAAATGCAATGCATAAAGTTGTTTTCACAAGCGTTCATTCGGTGAGGACATTTTTTGTCGCCGATTATGTACCTATCTAGTACTTTATTGATCGATGACGTAGAATAAGAGAAAGTTGTGACTCACAACACTTTATTATTCACCTATTTCAAACAGTGCATGTTTCTATAAGATTTCTAATACATACTATATTTTACTCCAATCAGACCAGGATCAACTATCTATACAGATAAATAAAATTGGAGTGTCTGTTTGTAATGTAAAAATAATAAGCTTTTTACTAAATACATACGAAACTATATGAAAAACACAGTTTTTAAATTTTTTGTCTGTCTGTTTGTTTCGGCTAATCTTCGAAACTGCTGGACTAATATTGACGGAACTTTGACTGGCAGATAGCTGATGTTATAAGGAGCAACTTAGGCTACTTTTATTAGAAAAAGAATCAGGGTCTCTCTTAAAAAAATTAAAACGTATCCAGGGACGCACCCGAGCAATGCGAGGGCAAGTCGCTAGTTTTAAATATAAAACATTATAAGATATAATTACTTGTTATAACGATAAATCCTAGGATTTCTAACATAATGAGCAGTGCCAAATTACACTTAGCGCCTTGACCACTCTTAAAATAGAACGCAAGTACCTATTGTATGGTATATCAAGTAATACAAAATTCACATTAAATATATTTTGGAATGTAATAGTAATCATATGAATTCAATTATCTTGTTAATCGCTTTAAAGCCCAGTGGGACATAGATTAAACCAAAAGAAAGTTTACAACTAACTTTTATTTAAAGCGAGTCTCATTATCACCTCCAGGTAAAATTCTAAGAAATCTAACGTCCGCCGTCCGCGGTCCTGGAGGGATTAAATATATAGGGAAACTATAGATACATTATATTCAGCACTGTCAACTATAATATGTAGTCTCTATAACTATAACTTGTACTATCTACCAGATATTCACCACACTCGTTCTAATATAATATTCCAGTAAAAAATGAGTGAGTCAGAACATTCCTTCAGTCTACTCCACAAGGGTTATCCATCGTATTGTAGAATGAAATATAACACAAGCCAAAACTTACCAGTAGCCGCGGCGGCCTCTGCGCCCTCCTCATTAACTTCAATAAAGGCCTTTTGGACGGCCTTGGACACGTACAGATTTTCGTCTGTGTTGAGAACCTTCGTAACGCCCGAGTTGTTGCTGTCGAAGATAGCTGAGATACCGAGCTGAAAATGTATATAGTTTTCGTTTAAACCTTACACGGCTATAATTGTAATGGTTGCGAATTAAATGTGTTGCTCTTGTTTAAATTTAATGCACTACAGTTGCTTTAATTTACGTATGTGTATGTCCTTGTTACTCTTTAAGGCTAAAACGACGGATTTGGATATGGTACACAAATAGGCTACTGTTAGGTACCCAGGCAGGGCCGGATTGTCTCTAAGGCAGCTTAGGCGACTGCCTAGGGGCCCCGCATCGGCTAGGGCCCTTACGTATCGAGAATTTTTTTTGAAAATGTTTGAAAATTTCTATGAAATTTACCTAATAGCGTATTTACGAATATAATTGCATTGTGATAGAAAAAATGTTCTATCAATAAGTTAGAAAAAGATAAAGGGGCCCCGAGAATTGCATTACCTAGGGGCCCCCGACATGGTTAATGCGGCCCTGTACCCTGGAACGAACTTGAGCAAAGTAAGGGTTATTTTGCTAGTGTTTAATATATAATAGAATTTGTTTTCAAAATTTTACCTACATACTAGTAAGTACATGTTTAAAAATGTATAAAAATATTTAAAAAAGAAAAAGAGAAAAAAAATATATATTCAAACAATACATAATTATTATTTGAATAAATAATAAGTGGTACTTATGTTCTTAAAAATAAGGAAAATTGTACCAGTAATGTATAATAATAATTTTTTTACTTCGAAAATCTACCTTCTGAGGATATGAAGCATATGCATATGTTATTAATGATTTTGAATTTATATTATAGACAGAATCATGTTTATTGGTCTGGCTTCTGTTCCTGTATAATAAATACATTTCGAATTGTAAACAATTTGTCAAACGAACAAGATGTTTACAATTCAAGATGAAATATTTCTTTATACTACTATAACAAACGAAATCTTTGAAAATACAGATAACTACAACAGCTACATGTCGTGACAGGTGTTGAGCATTTAAAAATTTGAATGTGCAATAAACATTCACTTACTTATTTAAAATATGATTTACGACCGACGATAAAAAATTTAAACTATCATTAATAATCAAGTAGGTACTTCAAATCATTATCACGTCGACCAAATATGTAAGGATTTAATGTTTCTTGCAATTATTATTCGAATGCCGATAAAGAAATACCATACAGTCAGATTATCTAGAAATATGTAAATGAGTGATATTCGTTGGTATTTATGTTGATCATATGTTTAAATATAACTTATTACGGCCATATGCGATTACGCGACACGTAGATAAACACATTCAGTGTACAAAGAAAAAAATTCGACAAAAATATTGTACATGAGACTACTAACATAACCATGCTTTTGCTTAATTACATCGGATTACTGCAATTGTAAATGCAATTTTGTGTGTGTGTGTGTGTGTGTGTGTGTGTGTGTGTGTGTGTGTGTGTGTGTGTGTGTGTGTGTGTGTGTGTGTGTGTGTGTGTGTGTGTGTGTGTGTGTGTGTGCGTATGTTTGTAATTTGTTACTCCTTTACGCTAAAAAGGCTGGAAGAATTTAGATGTATTATAATCATAACGTCATCCTGCCTGATTTCGGCCACGGTGGCCAATCTCATTGAGACTAGCCAGACGCGCAGGAGATTTTATAGTGAAGCGCGTGTACGCGCAGACACAATGCATTCTCTATTCCTGTTACTCTGACAAAGTATACAACGGTGGGAAGACTAATCGAGTGCCTGTGAGAGTTAAGGCGCAGGACCAACGGCTTTACGTGCTCTCCGAGGCACGGGGGTGAAAATCCGCCAACTTAAAAAAATCCAATTCCAGGCTATTATTCAGAATTTCTTGATAGAAAAACCCAATAATTAAACTTGGCTCGACGAGGACTCGAACCTGTGACAGCCAGATCTGCGGCCGTACATGCTAGCCACTAGACCACAGACGCAGTTAAAATTGAATTTAGTACCTACACGAATAGACCTGAAGTAACTAAGTTCCTGTTATACAACCAGGGACGCACTCGCGCGAAGCGAGTTTAATTCGGTACTTTAAAATAAAAAATAGTAAGATGATAGTTTAAAAGTAAAAGTTTGGTTACTCTTAATACGGCTCTGTTTTTTTTATTCATATGTAAGTAACCTATGTGTGAATCCAGCTACTTCTATTCTTGAATCTCACAGCTAAGCCGTTTACACAATAATTCAGAAACATTAGCATTTACAATATTAATGTGGTAAACTTACTTTAGGCAGTACTTCCATAAGATCGATTTCGGTTTCAATTTTGAATTTAGGGATCGTCACTTGTACTTTAGTTTTATGCATTTTGTCCAATTCAGAGAGCAAATTGTGTCCGGAGGCCAGCTTCTGCAGTATGGCGTCTAGACCGGTGATCTCGTTCGGCAGCACTATCAACATGCTTGCCTCGTCGCCAACATACGGGATTTGGAGTAACTGGAATAATAGAATTATTATATTACACCATACACACCATGACTACAAATAAAATTATAAATATAAGTTGAGTTTTGTCCAGGCTAAAACCTAAACGCTTTCACTTTGCGCGTTTTTTCTGCGCTTTCACGCTAAAACCGCTGCACTAATTTTAAGGAATTTTGGTATAAAGATATATGGGACCTTGGAAAAGGACATAGGCTGCTTTTTGTGGCGAAAATAAAACTTGAAGGGGTGAAATAGGTGGAAAGTTTATATGGGGAACCAATTACCTAAAGTACACTCACGATAATATATTTTGTTATCTATTCAAAGCGTACCTAGGCACCCTTATTTTTATTGACGCTGGGGAAACCCATCATGGGGACCCTGCCCGCCGTCATAACGGGCAAGGTACTGTGATACTCCTACTCACTAAAACCCACAGCGGAACCCTTCGCCGCAGTGCAATGGGGCGTTGCAGGATCGCTTGCGCACACACTACAACACCCCTGCGGGAAAAATAAATGATACTTTTGTATCCGATCGGGATTCGAATCCGGACACTTATTCAATCTTGCGCCTAGGCCGTTTGACCATGATGCTTATGTACCTAGGCACCTTTTTTTTATAGTGGGGAAATCCTATTACGGATACCACCCGACTTCCCCTGGGGTGGTTATGTGGAGACTCTCCGGCTAATGAGACCGGCATACCCACTAAAACCCAACTTTCCCCCTCTGCCGCCATGTGGGACGCCACGGGATCGCTCTCGCATACAACCGCGACGCCCCGACGGTTGGCCGAAGCCACCAACCATGAGGCCGCCCCAAGCGGGACAACCCCATTATGGTAAGACTTACAACCCAAGAAGTGAGGCCGCCACTAAGTCCACTCTGCTGATCAGAGAAGTACCCAGAGCAGCCCCACACCACATAAACACCGCCCACCGAAGTGGGCAACCTGCTAAAATAATTCCCCACCCAAATTGGGCAAAACCCCCTCCCAAAGACGCCCGAAAACGAGCCCAACCACAAACGGCTGCAGGAGAAGAGGATGCGACAACGCCGACACTCCCCTTACCCTGCAGCCCCACCGCTTCCACCATCAACGGTGGTGGCCCCGCTAGGCCGCGGGAGATAGTTACATAGTATAAGAACAAAGAAACTAAATAAAATAGATAGATAGATAGTTAGGAACGAATGCGGATGAATGATAGAAAGACAGTATGCGGAATGAAAGTGCGAGAAGCATAAAAGCGAGAACTGGTATGAAAGAAGTAGAAAACACAGACTCCTTCCCCCATGTTGGAGGCTCAGGTATATAAAAAAAAAAAAAAAAGCCGCCGCACCGACGGGCTAGCCCCGGCAGTGTGGTCCGCGCAGCGCCTCCTACCGCGAAACGGCCGGAGACACCGCGCTACCTCCAAGAAGGAGACGGCGCCCTCCTAACGCCGCTCCCTCAACCCTCCCTCCTGGCTGTTGGTCCGCGCCGGATTGCTCCGGTACCACAAGCTCCTGTCGGGTCCAAACAGGTGCGAGTGGTGTTCCCCTATCCGCCACCCGGGGACGCGTCCGGTAGCAGTCAGCCTCTGCCCCGGAGTACCTAGGCACCCTAGAGAAGCAAGGGTTAAGTCGCTATATAACAACATAATGTACAAAGTATTTTATAAGTAAGGAATATTTAAGATACCGGGATAAGAAGTAGAATAAGTCATTCGCTTTCGAAGTCCAAAAGCTGTTTCCATAAAAAAAGGAGTCTATAAGGATGAGAATTGCTTTGAAAAAAAAAGCTATATTAAAATTCGCAATTGTAAACTAGCCTTATAAGAGAGATTTTTTTTAAAGGGTACAAAAAGATATTTATAATACAAAATTAATTTCAGAACTTTAAACCACTTTATAGATATATTGTTTTCAAGATAAAATTTATGAGAATGCCGGGCAATTTGGATGTAATCCAGACTCGACTATGTTTATATTTTTAAACTATTTTTAGTATTTGTGTTTTACATGCCGCATTGATTTAACGCGAAAGATGGGAATATCCGAACGTGCGTAATATATATTTATATTTGGCACACACAGATATTTCCAATATGGAACATTTTTAAAATACTTGGGTGTAACTGTTAAATGAAATGATCTAAAGATAAATAATATCTTATCTTGTACAGCAAAAAAAATCACTGTCTGGCGAACTACCTACTCACCTACCTACCTACTTTTTCTTTTTTAATAATATAAATATACAGTATAAATTGATAACTTTTAAAATGTTATGAAATGAAGGTCAGATATTGTAATATGTTGATAGCAAACAGCAATCAATATACAATTACGTGTTTAATGGTAAATCCAGACAAGTACGGAGCTCAATATATTTTTGTATGCAATCCAATTTGAAACACGTATCGTTTGGAGCTAAAAAGCCGCAACACACAGTTTAAAAGTAGAAAATTCAATTCTTAAACAATTTACGTATTAAATATGCCAAATTAACTATTAAGAGGTCGTAATGATTGCGAAGCGCGTTTACACTTTAATATATTTTTTTAGTACCTAATCTATACATAGGTACGTGTAGTACTTATACGTAAATATTCGATTAGATTTAATAAACGTTCATTACCACGATTTTGTCAACGTGCTATAAGATATAGGGGCCTATGTAAGTAGTAGTATGTGGTGACTATGGTGACTACTTATTATTAGTAGATTTTAAGGAAATTTGTACGATTAATATTCTGGTCAAGAAAACATACAGATACATTTAGAATAAATCCTAGGATTTTTTGTTTGATTATATTATTCTTATTCTTCCCACAAAATAAATTATTGGCAGAACCCGCGGCTTCGCTCGCGCCAAAATAAAAAAAAATCTCTAAAAAGGTAGTTTCATACATATTTTCATACATATTTTATTTTATTGAAGAGCATTAATTAATACCAAGTTTCAAGTAATTCTGATCATAATTTTTTTCTTTGGATTGTAATAGAACGTGTTTTCCCATGGGAATTAGATAATCTCCCCCGGTAAAAAGTAGCCTATGTCATTCTCCAAACCCTCCAAGCATCTCCACACAAAAAATCACACCAATCCACTTCGTTTCGACGTGAAAGAAGGACAAACAAACAAATACAATTTCACATTTATAATATTAGTATGGATTTCGAAGACTACGATAAAAAATGTGTAAATTCAAATTATGTGTAAATTGTAGTGAAATTGTCAAAATTTCATTGATTCACAATATCACTGAATGTGTTTAGGAAAATTATAATATACTTAAAAATTTCAAGTGATATTGTAAGAAAACGAGACGAATGACAAAACTCCGGTTAATTATAATTTTACTAGTGAAATTATAATTTAACGGATCTTACAATTTCCCTGCGACATATTATCGCACAAACCAAATCACATGTACCTAATATTTAATTTATAAAAACTGATAAATAATAAATGGTTTGAAAGTGAGAATATCTACAATTGTAAAAATAATTGATAAAAAATAATTGATTTCAAAGTGGATATCTACATTTGAGGATGTTACGTAGATAAATATGATACATTGATAAATAAATCCACTATCAATCATATACAGGTGTCCAATTCACACTGGCTATAGTGTTTCACAATATAAAATTAGACCAAATCCAGATTCACATTCAATTAAGTTTTTTCATGGCATTGTATACAATTTTTTATTCCTGCCAACAGTATTAACTGTTCTTAAGGGACATAATATTAAATTTCTCCTAGATAATTCTCCTAAATAAAAATCTCCTAAATTTTTGTCCATTTTTCTGTTTGTTCCAGCTAATCTCCGAAACGGCTGGACTGATTTTGTCGACACTTTCACTACCAGATAGCTGATGTTATTAAGAGTAACTCAGTAACTTTTCACCATGGTAGGTAGGACTAGGGAGTACATTAGTCTATTACCTGAGCATTTAAAGCTTGACTTTCTCCATATACATAATCATCTTCTTTATACATCATAGGAACATCCACAGTATTCTCTTCATCAATATAGAATGGCTGATCTGTAGTATGTTCTGGTTGGAACTTTTTCTTCCATGTTCCCTATAAAATATATATGTATTAGTAAAAAATTTTAACAGATAATAAATAGAAAATAAAAATTAATACAATAACTTATTTATAATTCTTTAGATTCATAATAAAAATTATAATGTTTCACTTTTTTCACAGAAAAATATTTAAAAATTACCTACTGTTATATATACAATATAATGACTCATAATAAGGAAAATGTGAATTTGGTCTAAAACTGTTCAAGGACTAACTCGAGAAAAAAAATATAAAACTAACAGTCATTAGTAATATAAGCAACATTAAATTTATAATGCATTATATATATGCTAATTTTATAACTCATTTTACATGTATGAGACATACACATGAGTTTATAAAATAATATTATTGCTTATAAAAAGAACTGAGTAAAAATACTACCTTAAAATAGATTGCATTGAGGAGCACAAGACGTGTATCGTCATCGAGGCTGTCTTTTGAGATAAGATCCTTAATTTTTCCATTGGTCTTGCCTTCAACCTGTTAATTTATATAACTAATTGTATTATTATTAGAAAAAAAATATGTGAATATTTTTATTTTTAAATTGGGATTGTAAGTATAATTATTTTTATATAAATAATATTTACCCAATCATTGATCAGTTTAGCTGCATTCACACTGTTACCAAAGTCTATTTTCTCCAGTGCAGCATCAAATATTTTAACAGCATCTATTTTCAAATCCTCATTCAAATCATAACCACCCTCTTTTATATATACCTTATTTGCAACATTTAATGTCACACCCTTAATAGATTTCAAATTTGAGGAGACAGCAGAAAATGATGACCGAATCTAGAAAAATATTATATATGAATATACAATTTAAAATACAATATAAAATACAATATGTGTATACATATTATAAAATAATAATGATACTTACATCATCATCCCCAGGAATGCCCAGTGTTTTCAGCAATTCCGAATGAGCAGGATCAGTGGTTCCTAAAGCTAAAAGAGCTAACACAAATTCAGCTGACAGCGGTGAAGACACTACACTGGTGCTTTTGCTTAGTTCCTAGGAAACAAATCGAAAGATTATACTCTAAATTACCTATCAAAACATAGTTTTTGACACTAAAATAAGAGAAATAATTTGATTCGAAATAGGCATTTTATTTTCAAAAAGATATTAGAAAAATAAACAAATTTACTCACATTACAAAACTTTGCTGAAAATTCAGCGACAGCAGAAGAAAGCGCTTTAGCATCCATGTTTGGCGAATACACCGGTTGTACGAGCACTATTAAAACTGGAAGACAAATATAAAAATTAGAATTTATCAAGTGGGTAGCAAATCCGACGAGACAACATGCGATTGTCGATCCGGCCGGCGAACTAATAACCGAATACTCGAGTCTCGAACACTTCATACCTACCATACAAAGTTAACAACGATGATGTCATAAACGAATCATTGGCTCGCGCCGCCGACCCACCACCATTACCAAACATTTTTTAATTCTTAGAATGCGCAATTAATTTCTATGAATCACGATTTACAGCAACCCCATTAACACTGTTTATAATATAAGATATATTTACATATACACATTGTATATATTAATCGAATACACATCGATAAGATGTAAACAAGTGTTTCAAATCAATACCAGATTGATAGTTTTTTTAGCTAAAATGATAAGGCTACTGACCAATCAGGTTATCTTTACTTTATCTTAGCCATCGTGTAAATATATGCTTCGGTATAGCAAAACTATTATCAATTTTAAATTATTGTAATTATACTAGCCTATTGACGTGAGAAGATAAACATTAGCAATATCCTTTTCCATATTAATGTCGAAATATATTCAGTTCAATTACATATTAATAATTTAATTTTTGGTTTATTCGATAAAAAGATATAATATTAGAATATATAAATATTAAATACCTAATAAATAATTTAATTTCGAATTAACTTTAACACAAACTATTTATGTCAAATTGAATGTCAATATTTATTGTTAAAACATATTTACCGAGTATCGACGTCGTCTGTCGTCAGCATGTAAACAGGTCAACTGTCAAAACAATCAATGGACTATGGTAATATATATTAATAAATATTAATAGCACCTAAGCCACCAGTCATATTAAATAAAAATAAAATATTTGGTCTTGAAAACGCCATCTCACTCTATTAAGGGACTTCTTCTGTTTTTTAAAGAGGTTCTTTGTACATTCAAAAAATAATTAAACTATTATTTTAAAAACTTGCTTTCTTAGTTCTTTGTTAACCCAGTAAAAGAGATCATCGCCAGTATAGTCATACATATTAGTAAGTAGTCATACTAATATTATAAATGTGAAAGTGTGTTTGTTTGTTTGTCCTTCTTTCACGTCGAAACGGAGAGACGGATTGGCGTAATTTTTTGTGTGGAGATAGTTGGAGGGCTGGAGAGTAGTATAGGATTTTTACAGCGGGAGAGTATTGTGATCAGAATTACTTGAAACTTGGTATTAATGATAATTTTGATCATAAATATAAAATAATTCTTTGCCCATATAAACTTTATTACCGCCTTTTACCCCTTTAAGAGATAAATTTCGAAAAAAAAATGAAATAAATATATTTATTATTTTTTATCATAAAGCTAAACACCACTTTTTGTGTATTTCCACTAAGAATGACAGTGTCATACAAACTTTAATTCCCTATTTTACCCATTTATGGAAATGAATTTCAATAAATCCTTTCTTATCGGATGCTTACATAATAAAAGGAAAACGTCGTCCAAATTTCACGTTTCTATGACCAGCGGTTTAGGCTGTGTGTTGTTCCATCCGTCAGTCATGACCACCGCAGGATGTACCTCTCCTTCTCAATTCTTCCTTCAATTCGATAAAATGCGAACACAATAGAAGCAAAAAACTAGGTATAAAAGATATCACAATAAATTGCTTATCCTCAGACTGACTGTAAATAGGCCATATATGTGGCGCCCTCCTTTCGAGAAATTTTCACCATTACAGCACTAAGGTTCATTATGCGGCGTAATGCTCGGTAAAGTGTTAAAAATGCTGAGTAAAAACGGTAAGATCTAATTCTAAAATTTATTACTAAAGGTGTCTGCCCACAACTCATACCATGACCGTGCTACGTATAAGGCACGGAAACAAGCGACACGAACTACTATGCCCACTAGAACGTATCAACAGTGTTAAGCGTATCATACCAGTATAAGACGGTTATCCGCGTATCATCCGTGTATCAACCGCGTACCAATCGCGTATCATCCGCGTGTCATATCCTTATGGTTCCCGTTTTCTCACTCGTAGCAGGTCACCTGTGTTTTCGAATTTCGCGTGAGGCAGCCGCATCAGGAAGAATATTTTTGTTACGAACATTCATTTTTATGTTCTTATACATATAAAATGTGTCGAATTTACCGACATTGCCTAACGTAAAAAAGCAGAATTTTAGTCTGATTATGAATAATGAAATACTGGAAGTAACAGTTAGGAAATTTAAAAATTTAACGGCTCGACTTGTATATTTTAGTTATTTTCATAGTATTCTATCTTATTTAATACTTCTTTGGCGCAGTGCCGCGGAAATTAATTCGATATTTATTCTTCAACAAAGAGCAGTACCGGCTATTTATGATCTAAGAGCTCCTGATTCCCTGCGAGATGTTTTCAAAAAAAATGTATTTTTACGGTTGCGTCACAATACATACTGTGTAAAACTTTTTAACAAAAAATAAAAACCGACTTCAAACAAAAGCATTTTTTTTTTTTTTTTTACAATTCTCCTCTGACACTGGTCAGAGACTTTGTTATTTCTAAGTTTCTTATACTATAGTACATATTTTTGTCGACATTTTTGGTATACATTTAGTTTATTACATAATTTTTGTATGCTTAATTATATGCTATTTTAATATTCTTAGAATTATTACATTTTATTTTTATAGGTAAGTACTATGAACAATTTTTATATTATACTATTTATTTATTATGACTATTATGTTTATGGCTATTGTTGTTATTATTATTTATACATGTTTCAAGTTTTATGACACTGTGGTCTCATACTCTTCTGTTCTCATTTGCAACATGAGGACGCTAGAAAAGTCTAGCGATTATGATGCGGGATTCAAAAAGGTAAAAGGCACTTTTTTTTTTTTTTTATATTGTGCTGTGCCTTTTGTTTACAATTTTTGTTATGTATGTGCAGAAGGCTATGAATATCTTGTGGTGTTCTTTGTGCATGAGTAAAAGGTGTAAGTTTTCTATTTTTGTAGCAATACTTGTCTGGTTTTCCAGGTCACAGCGTGCCATACTAAATCTTGGGCATTGTGTAATAAGATGGATTATGGTTTCTTCAACACCAGGGTCGCATTGACATCCTGGGTTGGCAATGCATTTGAACCTTGCCAAGTATTCAGCATAGCCGCCGTGACCCGTTAGTGCTTGGGTTATTAATGGGTTAAGTGTCACTTTCTTTGTAAATTTGTGTGCCATTTGTATATTAGGTAGAAAAATTTTGGTTATTTTGCCTTTGTCACTGCTCTTGTACATTTCGTCCCATTTGGTTACTGTCTCTGAGCGGATTACTAATTTTAGGGAGGAAATAGGGAAGGAATCGTATATTGGTGCTATCTTTTTATTTTGGGCTGCTGTTTTAGCTAATTCATCGGCTTTTTCGTTCCCTACTATTCCCACGTGTGCTCTTACCCAGAAAAATCTGATTTTCTTGTCAGTCTTAGTTAAGTCGTGTGTGTTCTTTTTTATGGGGAGCGCTAGTGGGTGGGTTGTATCGTGTCTGGTTAGAAGGTCGAGTGATGACCTTGAGTCGCTTAAGATGTCTATTTTCTTTTCCCGAGACCTCATTGCAATCTCAGTGGCTTGGTGGAGCGCGTACATTTCGGCCTGAAACACTGAGCAGAAAGGCGCTAAGGTAAATTTTCTGCTCAATGTTTCCTGCCCGTCCTTCCAACAGGACAATGCCGCGCCCACCCCGTCACTGATCTTGCTTCCGTCCGTGAAGATGCACAGGCCATTGATACTGTGCTTCTCCACGGTTTCCGGGTTGAGATCTTCGAGTCGGGTGTACGTAATCGACGCTTCTAACGCGGTGTGTGGTAGTTTGTGATAGGGAATCTTTGTTTCCACTTCTCTACCCTTTAACAGGGCCAGTGGTTTACCCCTTTTTGCTTCGTAGAGCCTGGCAGCTTCTTCTGCTCTTAGCTCGAGTGGCAGAAGGCCTGCAAGTGCCAGGGCTGCCTCAAAAGAGACGGTCCTGTATGACTTGCAGATCTTCTGCGCGAATCCTCTCTGCAAATTATGGAGCTCTTTTCTATTTTTCCACTTCCCAGCATCCTTAGCCCAGACACTGCTGGCATACAGTATTATTGGCTCGGCCACCGCCGTGTAGATAGTCCTGACGATCTCAGAATTTAAACCCCATGTTAATTTTGCTGCTCTTGCCAATGGTTTGTAGATGTTTGCAACTTTCCTAATTGTATTTCTGATATGTTCATTAAATGTCAATTTGTTGTCTATTGTTACTCCTAAAATTTTTATTTTTTCCATTAATTCGATTGGTTTCCCGCCCATGTGTATAATTGGAGTGTCGAATTTTAGTTTTCTTGTTATGATCATCGCTTGTGTTTTGTGCGGTGCAAATTTAAGTTTATTTTTGACACCCCATTCATACACATGGTCGAGAACCTCTCTTGCTTTCTGTTCTATTGTATTGGGTTTTTTATCCGAGATCATCACGACTATATCATCCGCGAAAGCCTGGACGTGTACACCGAATTTTTCCACTTCGGTTAGGAGTGGGTCTAATAGGATGTTCCAAAAGGTGGGGCCCGCTATTGATCCCTGTACACACCCTTTTGTTGTTTGTTTTAGATGCTTTTCGCCGGCGTATCGCACTTCCACTGTGCGGTCAGTGAGGTAACTACTTACTAGTTTCAGCAAGTTTGGGGGACATTTTTTCTTGATCAAGCCGCTTTTGATGGATGGCCACCATGCACTATCAAAAGCTCCCTCTATATCAAGGGATATGACTGCAACGATCTTTTTGTCTATTATATCCGCTCGGATATGATTTACCATATCATAGAGGGAGTCTTCTGTGCTTCTCTGTGGCATAAATCCGTATTGGCGGGTGTTGAGCGTAGGTAGCATATGCCATCTAATTCTGCGAACCATCGCTTTTTCCAGCATTTTGCCAAGCAGCGGTAGTAATCCTATTGGTCGAAATGCCTTAGGATTGGTGTAATCACCTTTCCCGGGCTTCCGTAGGATCACTACCGTCGCCTTTTTCCAATCTGCTGGAAAGTGCGATAGTTCTAAGCATTTATTTGCTATTCCCAGAAATATTTCTGGGTCTGCTTCGTAAGCTTTTTGGCAGATGTCCGCTGTTAAGCCGTCCCCTCCAGGAGCCTTTTTTGGGTTGAAGCTGTTCACGACACTTCTTATTTCACTTGATGTGA